ACCTTTGAAAATCTGGCCTAAGAGCTTAGTCACCACCCTGCTCATTTTGTTCCGACTGTTTTTGGACTCACGGCTGCTTTACTTAGTCATAGAGGCTTTTTGGTCTGAAATTTTGTTGTTTAATCTTGTTAACACTGCAGCCGATACAGCTTGGTGGGAGGATGAGCTGGAGTCTATTCTGACTCATGCATCAACAGAATTGCCAGTCTACAAATCGCAGATGGAACTTAGTTAATTCTGCAGGTGATACTCAAGCTAGAAAAAGCCCAGCTTGACTTTTAGATCCCAGGCTGAGTTTGTAGGTCTGGCAGTTAGGAAACCATCTCTTTACAGAGAAACAGCAAGCTTTGCAGTCAAGTGATTGAGACAATAAAAATGGAACTCCACAATGCTTTTTTTTTTTTAAATCCATATAGTCACTTTTCAGAGTAGAACCAGGCTTATTAATTCTTTGCACTTCTGTAGTGCCTCTTCGAATGTCTCAGTGCACTTTCCAAATATGAATGCATTCAGCCTCACATCAGTTTGTAAGGTAGGAAGCTATTACCCCACTTCAAAGATGGAGAAACTAAAGCTGTGAATTTCCCCAAATCACACAGCTGGTCAGTGGCAGAAGTGGGAAGAGAACCCAGGGGGCCAGACTCCCAGTTCCGTTCTCTAATAAACGATAGTTCCTGAGTGGTTCCTTTATGTTTAAATCAGATTTTTTTTCTAGAGAAAAAAGTTTGATACTGACCTTTGGCTTCATTGACAGACAGCCTGAAAGCTTCAATTGTGACCAGAGATCTAAAGCCCTTTCCTTTACACAGCTGTGGGGTAAACACAAGAATCTTTTTACATGGAAGGATGTTAGTGGAACATCTGCAAAGTAATGAGTACATGATGGGTGTCCCTAAGTAGTTATCATTTATTACTATTGTTTATTTGTTCCCAATAGGCTGCACAAAGTGCTAGGCACTGTACAGACAGCAGGAGGGCACAGTCCCAGTCCTAGAGAACTTACGATCTAAACATGCAGTGCTGTACTACAGAAGAAGATGCATATTATTGGCTATGCCCAAAGAGCTGTCCATCCAAATCAGCCTAGCAGTAACACCAATTGAAGGTCTAGGGCTAGCGTCTAATCTGGTGTAAATGAGCAACACTTTTTTGAAGTTAATAGAGCAGTGCTGATTTATACAAGCTCAGCATTTAGCCCTTTGAAAATTGTCCTGAAATTTTCTCCCAAGGCTTCTGTCTCTAACTATGGTGAGTTATCATTGAAAGTCTGGGTTGTTGGGGTTTTTTGTTATTATTAGACAGAGGGAGTTGAATGGAAAGAGGCCAATTCATTGGGAAAACAGATGGAAATCATCTGAGATCGTCAGCATACTTGTTAATTATAAAACAGAGACAGAATTTTTCCTGTTTAATCAGACACTTTTACCATGTTGTGCAGTCAGTCAGAACATTCAATATTTTAAGGTGGTGGAGCACACGTGTATCTTCACATGCTTACTTCCCAACACAATTCTCAGCATGTATGTGGAATGGCTAGCAAGCTGGACCACTAACAGATTGGTCATACCAAGCAGTAGCCTATTCTTCAAAGTTTTGCTTTTGTGCTCTCTTTTAATTGTTTTTTTCTGTGCTGTGTAGTAATGATTTGTACACATTTATTTTCACATAGTAAAGTTTTCTATGAAATGGTCAGTTTGTGGCATCTGCTAACATTATGAAATTGCACATACCTTGTTTTTATGGTGTGAAATTTTAGTCTTTCAAGCGTGATCCTTTTAAAATAAAGGTCAGATGCACCTGCAAAGTGAAAAGCCATGGTTTCACTGTCCACTAAACCTTTCGTGAAGCATTTTGTAGGAGAGGTAATAAAATTATTTCTCAAATCAAACTCAAGTTGTGAAGCTGTTATATGTGTTCCTAAATCCAAGAGGAGTAAATCTGGCTTTTGAAGCACATGTAGAACAAAGAGACATTCATAAGAGGTTCTAGCGTGGCAGTTAGAAATGGAGAAATCCTCTAATCTAGCCTCGTAGGATCAGTACAAAACAGTGTGGGACCAATACCTCTTTCAAGCAGACAGAGTGGTTCGGAAGTCAGGTGTAATACTTGCTGGGTGACCTTGGGTAACTCACCTAAGGTCTCTTTGCTTCATTTTTCTCCATCTGTTACTGATGGGTGGAACAGTATGGACTAGTGGCTAGAGCACTGGACTGGGACTCAGAAGACCTGGGCTTTATTCCTAGCTCTGCCGGTGGCCTTGGTCAACCATGCCTCAGTTTCCCCATCTGTAAAATGGGGATTATGATACTGACCTCCTTTGTAAAGCACATTGAATTCTTCTGATGAAAACAGGTAGGTGGTGTTATTATTAATCACCTTTTTAAGGTACTTTTGAGGTCCAAAGGCAAAAAGAGCTATACCTTCTCCATTGCTTTGCCATGTACAGTTTCAAATAACTCAAGCAATGGGCTTTCCACCACTTCTCTTGGGAGACTCTACAGCATAGTAAAAATCTCACTACTGGTATATGTTTGGATTTACTGCTGTGTAAGTTAGACCAAAATCTTGCTCATAATTAGAAAGCTTAATTCCCAAAAGAAGCTATGTGTACGACCTTCCTACTGTGGCCCTTATCCCCAGGCAATCTTAGTGTATTATTACGTCTCCTGAAGGGAAATGTACAGGCATAAACAGCCCTCTGGTTGGATTATAGTCCAGAATTATAAATAGTAAAACTGAGATGGGAACAGGTGCTTCCTCTGCAAAGCCTGGCTCGGGCCAGGTGTGACGTGACCAATGCTGGTTACTGTCCAGCAGCTCATGACCCTGTGTGAAACGAGTCTGGTCTCAGTGCAGTCCAGTGAACAGGTGCCTGCATCATCAGAAACAACACCAGGGCTCACTCGAATGGGCAGTCTTGTCAGCAATCGTGGGAGAGGAGCTAAGGATGGACAGGGCCACGGAGATTCAGTTCTCCTCCAGAGCATTATTGTGGCACATTGGCTGGTTAAGGCAGGAGGGAAGCGTGCTGTAGATAAAAAGGAATCTTCAACTTCCAGAGCTTGGCACTGCAGCACCTTTCATTAGCACTACACTCACTACCGGATCCTAAGTGTTTAATAGTGAACATTTCTAATGTACACCCACAGCTCACACAATGCTATTGGCTAGCTTCTGTCTTCGAGGGCTTAACCAGTATATCTCTAACATCCCAGCTGATGGAGCTCCCACCTTATTCCTTGGGAAACTACTTCACAGCTGAATACAGCACATTGTCTGGAATTTTTTTCTCCTCCTTGATACTCATCTAAATTTTCCTCACTGATTTGATCTCATTGTTCCTATTACATACTTCTTTGTATCCCCTTATCAACTTCTCTCCTGCCTTTATGTTTACACCTTTCTAATCCTTGTAGGTAGTTGTTGCTTAGCCAACCTACACATGGAAAATCTGGCCATAATCTAATGGCTCCTATTTAGGCACCTAAATGAAGCATCTACATTGTCAAAAGAGCTCAGTGGGAGTTTCTGGGTGCTGAGCACATCCAGTAACCTGGCCCTTAGGAGGAGAGATGACAAGAAACTAACTCATAGCCTCTTTTTCCTCTCTCACCCTTTGTCTCTCTCGTCTATTTAGATTTCCAAGCTCTCTGGGGCAGGCCCAATGGGCCCTGATTTTGGTTGAAGGTTGTAGGCACTATTGTAATTAATAATATTAAGGAGGGTGGATGTGCTGTCGTCATGCTGCGTGCACTGGTTGCATAAAAACAAAGCAGACTGTCGCTGTGCAGGTACTAGCCCTGGACTGTTTTAAATTGGATCATGTGGTATAAAGGGAAGGTAAGTCTCTCTTCAGCTACTAATTGAGAATACATGCAATGATCTGGAAGATCTCACACCTGTTCCCTCTGTAGCCAAAGTAAAGTGTCAGTCTGATAGTTTCAGGAGAAAGATATCACTACATATATGTTACATTACAGTTTCTCCAGCCAGCTGTCACTTCATCCTTCCTCTCTACCGTCCATTCCACAGCTTTCTGGTGCTGTATAAGGTCTAATCTCTTGTCCTTCACGCAAAGGAAATGGAATTCTTTTTCACTGGGCATTGTTTCCTCCCTCGTAACAGTGGCATCTTAGCTCTTCTGAGGAAGTTCTGAAAACCTCGTGAGCGAGGGAGATGGGCAAGCATCCAAGTGTGGCTGGATGCCTTTTAGTGCTTTGCAGGATGTGTCAGGCTCAGGAACATCTGATACTGTTCCACTTAATGTTAATGCTGTTAATCCAGCTCCCATAAGGTAAGAATGGTGTCCTAGCCTCTGTTTGGCGGAGGATGGAGGTGGATGGCAGGAGAGAGATCACTTGATCATTACCCATTAGGTTCACTCCCTCTGGGGCACCTGGCATTGGCCACTGTCGGTAGACAGGATACTAGGCTGGATGGACCTTTGGTCTGACCCAGTCTGGACATTCTTATGTTCATACCACACCCTCTTAAGCACTCTGGGACAGAGATTCCCCAGAAGGTTTCTCCCACAGACAATAACAGCTCGTGCAATTTTAAAATGGCCAGAGATGCCTGAGGCCACAGGAATGTTTGGTGGGTGGACAGTAGAGGGTGCGTATCTACATTTACAAAAAGAAAAGGAGTACTTGTGGCACCGTAGAGACTAACCAATTTATTTCAGCATAAGCTTTCGTGAGCTACTGCATCCGATGAAGTGACCTGTAGCTCACAAAAGCTTATGCTGAAATAAATTGGTTAGTCTCTAAGGTGCCACAAGTACTCCTTTTTTTTTGCGAATACAGACTAACATGGCTGCTACTCTGAAACCTATCTACATTTAGCGTGTTCCTGAGGTGCTCCCCCTGCTGTGCAGTTGAAATCTGACAGCACAGGGCCAGTGGCATTCCTAGTCTTAGCAAGACTTTGGTGGGGTTGTTCCACCCCCCAGTAATCTGCTTCTGTGCGCCTCATTTTCACAGCAACAATGAGGCCTCAGACACAGTCCCTCTCTCCCCCAACAGTCCCCTTTTTACAGCAGGAATTGAGGGTGCAGGTCCTGGCTCTTTGTGCTGAGCATGGAGTACTTCTAACTGCCCTGTGCAGTTCTGCCTACCCTTTCTGCCATACGTGTGCTCAGCCCACCCTGTTCACCTCATCCCTCCATGCCACATTAGGGCTTGTAGGGTCACACCACAGTGCTGGGATTCCCTTCCATGGTGCAGTGCAGTCAGTCCAGAAGCAGTTTCTTACCACTCCTATAGCAGTCAGGGGACTGCTCTCCTCCTCCTACTGGTTCTCTTGTTTTAAATCTCACTGTAGTGGGTTTCACTTTGAGGCCTAGTGCTCAGGCCATGGCCAAATAGTCTCTCTGAGTGTTGGAATAGCTCTTCCAGGCCGTTTGGGTAGCCTGGCAGCCAAGTCCCAGTTCGTCACAAAGCCCACCCCCAACCCGGAGTGCTCTAGGCTCTCTCAGGCAGACAGTGGGAGGAGAGATCTTTAGGGGGACCTGGCCCTCCCTTTCCACTTGATTCTGGCCCAGTGGGAGAGAGGCGAGGGGTGGTTCAGTCCTTGGGGGTGCCGCTCCAAATTGGCCTTCCCAGCCGCCTCCTTACCTTTCCTGGCAGTTTTTCCTTCAGCTTGTGGCGTGGCCCCAGCTTTCTTCTTGCACAGTCTCAGTAATTCAGAGCCCCAAGTGGAGGCTTCCCAGCTCACTCAGAGTCCAGTTGATCCTACTATTCAGGGAGAAGGGGAAAAAAAAGGGCAGGGCCCCAGCCAAGTCTTACTCTCAGTCCCAGTCCTTCCCCTGCAGACTGCTCTGTTTCAGTTGTCACTGTCTGCCCGTCTCTCCTTCACTCTCCTGCGTGCCTCCCTTTTAAGCAGGTCCTCCATAGGATAGGAAGCATGCCCAGCAGCTGCAGAAGGTCAGGGCCTGCTTGGCCCAATACTGTTCCAGTACTCCTTTAACCCTAGTGTCGGGTCTGTAAACAACCTCATCACATACTCTCCCCCTCAGGCTGGGCACTGGAGTCTGTGCAGACGGGTCTCCTCCGTCCCACGAAAAGAACTCCCATGTTCTTATGATCACGTCCTGCTCACTGTAGTACCTCAAACTTGTACAGCTGCATTGAGGTACCCGTTTATAATCCACGGGTTATGGCGTTTCATGGTGTTCAGCCATCACAGAGGTGCATGATCCGTCACGAGATGGAATGTCTGTCCTCATAAGTAGTAGCAGAGTGCTTCAATAGTCCATATTACTGCCAAGGCCTCCTTCTCTATTATTGAGTACATAACTTCCCGGCCGAACAATTTCCAGCTGAGGTAAAGGATTGCGTGTTCTTCTCCCTCTACCTCTTGGCATAACACGCTCCCCTGAGGTTAAGGTCAGAGACATCCATCTGCAGGGTGAAAGGTTTTGAAAAATCAGGGTGGAACAGGATGGGCTCCTGCATCAGTCAATCTTTCAATTTCTTGAAGGCTGTGGTGCACTCTTGAAACCACCAGACCTTCTTGGGGGCTATGTCTATCACCAGGTCTGTCAATAGGACTGCAATCATGGTGAAATCTGGGATAAACCACCTATAATAGCCTGCTAATCCCAGGAAGTGTCAAACCTGCCACTTTGTGGTGGTTTCGGTGCCAGGGAGCTGCCGCGGGGTGGGGGTGGGGGGCGCTTCAGGGTGGAGGGGGCGGTTCAAGGTGGAAGTTTCGCCTAGGGCGCAAAACATCCTTGCACCAGCCCTGGTTGAACTAGTCTGACTCTCACAATGCAAACATTGCCCAGTGTCCCTGTTGCAGTGCATGACAACTCTTATCTTTTTTTTTTTTTTTGGCTGAGGATCTTTGCAAACACTCCTCTGGGAGCAAGAGAGAACAGATTTGTTACATGTTTTTACAATACAAACCTTTAGATTTTTAATCTCCAGTAGATTATTTGGAATTTGTTTTTTAATCAAACAGGCTTCTCTTAAACTGAGAAACCTAATCTTCAAATTCATATTCTGATCAGAACAGGATAACCCCATAGTTTCTCAGAAGGAACAGGGTTAAGATAAAAGCTATAGGTTAATGGTGATAATGTTTTTAAGAACAGAGAGGTTACCTATTTCAAGCCTCAACTCAAAAACAGCACAAGGATCTTTGAAAACACACCCAGAATGGCTCAGGTTAAGCACCTACATTGCGGGGACCAGATGTGACATGGGAAAGCTGGATTATGTAGTGGTCAGAGCACAGTACTGTGTACCAGTATTCCTGTGTTCTAGTCCTACTTTGGACTCTGACTTGCTGTATCGCTCTGGGCAGGTTACTAATGCCAAAATTAGAAGTGGCCAGTCATTTAGTATGCCTCAGTTTTCAGGTCTGATATGCCAAGGGTGTGATTTTCAGAGGGGAATTACATCCCCTCCCGACCTCACACTGAAGTTAACTGGAATGGTAAGTGTTAAGAGCTTGACTCAGAAAGTTATTGGTAGTGCATAACAACAACTTTATTGAATCTATTAATTTTTGAACAATGCTACTTACTTTTGTATGCCACCCATCTAGTACCCACTTCTTTCAGTGCTCTTATAACAGTAAGTGCTCAGCACCTCTGAAAAATCAGCCACTCAGTGTCTGTTTCTCCATCTCTAAAATATTTAGAAACAGGGGCATTAGCAAAGGGGGGGGCAAGCGGGCATGGGCCCCCCAATCAGTGGGGACACAGAACTCCTCTGGGCCTGGGACCACGGTGACGATGGCAGCTCCTCCAACTGCTGTGGGAGAATAAGCTCCACCACCCTGGGACGGAGGAGTGGGAGGGTAGCCAGCTCCACTGGCCTTGGGGCTGTGGCAGGGAGAACCAGGTCCTCCTGGGGGGGCAGGGAAAGGAGAGCCAGCTCCAGGGGGCTGGGGGGAAGGAGAGCTAGCTCCTCCATCCGCAGGGCACACAAAGTGCCCCTCCAAAGCAGCCAAATTTGTATTCCTGTTTACGCCCGTTTAGAAAAACTAATGGCATTCCAGGCTTAATTAATATTGTAAAGCACTTTGAGATCCTGGCATAAAAAGAGCTAAAGCCCTGCAAGATATTTTACCTGACACATAGGCATTGTTCTGTTGCATTTGAATAACAGTCATGGTACCACAGAGAAAGTTAATGATAAAAAGGTTAAGGGGAGGTGCCATTTGATTCATAAGTCCACAGCATTATAATTTAAATGGTGTCACCTTCTATGACTTGTTGCCCCTGGCTCCCAGCTCCAGAGCCTCCAGTTGATGGTACTTTTGATAATACAGTGTCATTGGAAAGAGGTTGAGTTTGATATCATTTGAAAGCCCTTTCTCCCACAAACAAAATGGTATCAAACATGATCTACTTAGAACAATTATGTAGATAGATATTTGAGAAAAATGTTTAAAAAATTATTTTTTTTATTACACGTTAACACTGGCCTGTCACACATGTAGCCCTCACAAAGTTAAATTGTGGCCATTGGCTGACCATACCATTAATGCTCAGACCATGATATCTGATTAATTTTTTTTAATATTACAGATTACTGTAAATAGAAAAATATTTCAAGTTGATTTGCAGTTGACAAAAAAGAAGTGGTTTAGTGGGACTGATTATCAGATTTATTTATTATGCCAAAAGAGTTGCAATGAGGCCCTGTTTAAGACATCAGTATCCAGACAGAAATTACTGGAATCCTTCTGCAAAATGTATGCACACAGTTAATTATGTTACGTAAGTACAATCCCAAAGTAATATATTACAAAATCCCTTTTACTTTGTTCTTGATCATTTTTAGGTCTCAATGGGAAATGAAGAGTACCAACTAGTAGTTGAATCTCTGGAGAATACAACCACAGAGGACCTTGTTAAACACAATGCTCAGTGGCACCTTACATAAGAAGTGCACCATAAACTTAATTTGGTAAGGTTGGAGAGGAAGTACATTGAGCATCAGGAAAAAGATGAAGATGATGGGACAAGCACAAGCTGTGGGTGAGACTCACCTTATACTAGGTCACACGGCATGCATTTCAAGCAGAACATATGCTTCTGTGGTAAGCCAGAAACCTGTAGGCATCCATTAAGCACAGTTTCAATCACAGGCATCAACTTTCCAATGTGCCGGGGAGTGCTCGACCCCGAGCTCTGCCCCAGGCCCCGTCCCCACTCCACCCCTTCCGCCAAGGCCCTACCTGCCTCTTCCCACCCCTTTCCTCCTCCTCTCCCGAGTGCACCATGTCCTTGCTCCTCCCCCGCAGAGCCTCCCGCACGCCATGAAATAGCTGATTGTGGCAGGCGGGAGACGTGGGGAGGAAGGGGGAGGTGCTGATTGGCAGGGCCCACCGGTGGGCAGGAGGTGCTGGGGGGTGCTCCAGCGCCTGTGGTTTCAATTAAGCAGTTTCAGCATGAGACAAGTGAAAAGCAGACACTTTGAGTGAGAAGATTGCATGGAAAGTAAAGGTAAGTGGGTGCATTGACCCTAAAGACACCCATGCATACGGCATTGAGTACTACGCCAAGAGTGTACGTGTTTTATCAAAAGCTAAAAGCAGCAGAAAAAAATACTAGTTTTTCCTGACATTGATATTCTGATGAAAGCAGCCTTCAATGATGAGACAGCTAAAAAATATCAGTCGAATGGATACTTCAGGTCATGACTTGTATGAAGTCTTCAAAACCCAAAGAATTATCTAAAGTTCTGTCAGTCTATGGACTCCAATCAAGAACAGACTAAAGCTGTGCTCAAATGCAAAGACAATAGTCAGAGTGAAGGTGGCAGGGACTATTACAGAGCTAACCATGGACTGGTAATTATTTACTCATCTCTTGGTTGTGTCCAGACCTCAGCATGATGTTGATCTGCGTGAGACTTTGGGAAAGTACAAGTTCTCTGTGGTATCATGATCATTATCATTGTTCGAAAGCAATGGAACAATGCCCGTGCACCAGGGGAAAAGCAAACTAATGCACATCTTGCTTGGTCTTTCTAAGCCAGCGCCTACTGACAACCTAACCGGTACCGTAATCCAGCAAAGGCCTTTCAGTATAGCAATCATAGATAGTATACCTGAGATACAACTCTCGACAAATCAGAACCTGTTAACACTGGCCGAGATTTGGCTGAATACTTCATTCTGAGGCTACAGAGAAAATACTGAATCTATGACGAAGTCCACCTTGTGTCTGACACACACGCAGAGGAATCAATTAAAAATATTACTAGAAAGAAGAGACTCCATGGTATTGCACTTGTCAAAATCATTTACGCCACAAACATCTCCAATCTTAAAGTGAAGAAGCTATTGTCTCATACTTGGACAAAGGATGAGTTAACCACATACCTTGCAGGAAAAATGCTCCAGCATATGAAGAATTGCTCAAAGACTTCAGTCGTTGCATTGTATAATGAAGCTACCACCTCGCAGTGTTCAGTGGAGTTGCTCTGTAGTCCCAGTGAGGAAGCTGACACTAAAATTATCATGCTTGCCATCAGTGCCACAGAGAGAGGTGCTACTAAACTCTATAGAGTTTTGCACAAGTCACATGTTCTAGTGCGGTCTGAGACACATTGTCCAAGACTTCCGCAAGATTCTGTTTTTGTCTAGGCTCCTGGGGAACAGAATTGCTGTATACTCCTCAGAGATGTGTTTCTACCCTTGGGCACCTCCCACCCCCAGCCCGGAGAAGTCCCGGACCAGCTGCACCTGTGCCTCCCCTCCCCAGACCCTAAGCCACCCAGGGAAAAATGTCTCTGGTCTGGAAGAAGCTTTTGATATGCCCCATGCAGGTTCTGGGGCGGCTGAGAAGGCAGTATTTGCTACTCAGGTTCCTGGGTTCAGTAGTAATCTCCCTGGATTCCCTGGAACCTGCATGGGGGCATAATAAATAAAAACCTTCCCCCCAGAACCCTGCAGCCAGCACTGTGTGGTCAAGTCCAGTTACAGGAGTAACCACAAATCAGCCTCCCTGCCAGGAGGGCAGGAAGAGCAGCTGCTGCTTCCTGGAGGAGCAGCTGCTCAGTTGGAGAGAGAGAGAGAGAGAGAGAGAACTGGCTCCCAAGGCTCTACACCACATTGGGGGGAATCCTGTCTCCCCCATCCCTCTCTGCTTGCCTCCAGCCCCTGCCTCACTCTGGGAACCGACACCCCCCCATCCCTCTATACTTGCCCCTGCCTCATTTTGTGAGCCACCGCCCGTTGTACTTATCCTGGCCCCGGCCTCACTATGGGGACCAACCCCCCCCCCGCTGTGCTTAATCCTGGCCCTGGGAGCCACCTGAGGTAAGTGCTTCCTGGGGCCCGTACCCCCTCCTGCATCCCAAACTCCGGCCCCACCCCAGAGCCCATACCCCCAGCTGCACCACAACCCCCTGCCACAGCCTGGAGCCCCTCCCCAATACCCTGCCTCAGCCTGGATCCCTTCTCCTGCACCCTGAACCCCTCATTTCTGGCCCCACCCCGGAGCCTGCACCCCCCAGCCCAGAGCCCATACGCCTTCCAACACCCACTCCCCCTGCCTCTCCTGCACCCCAAACCCCTCATCTCCAGTCCCACCCCAGAGCCCCTACTCACAGCCAGAGCCCTCACCCCCCCACCCCAATTGCCTGCCCCATCCTGGATCCCCCTCCCACACCCTGAACCCCTCATATCTGGCCCCACCCTGGAGCCTGCACCACCCAGCCCAGAGCCCCTACCCCCTCCCACACCCAACCCCCTGCCCCAGCCTGGTGAAAGTGAGTGAGGGTGGGGGAGAGCAAGCCATGGAGAGAGGGGGGAGGGAGTCTTGGAGAAAGGGTGGGGCAGGGGTGTTTGGTTTTGTGCCACTGGAAAGCTGGTAACCCTAAGGAGGGGGCTGGGGCCTGGGGTTACTGTGGGGAACAGGGGTCAGAGTGCTGTGGGGGATGGGGGTGCATTGCAGAGGATGGGATGCTGTGGGGGGGTGAATTACTGCCGAGGGGGTGCTGCGGTGAGCGGGGGCGGGGGGCACTGTTCTGGGTGTGCAGTAGAGAGGAGGGGCAGGAGGTTTCCGTGAGGAGTGGGGGGGCACGGATCTGGGGGTGCGGGGGCTTGCTGTGGGCAGCGGTGGGGCATGGTGTTGGCGGTGCAGTGGGGAGTTGCTGTGGGGAGGCAGTACTGGGGGTGCAGTGGGGGGCGGGGGACATGGTGCGGTGGGGGCGGGGGACTGCCGTGGGGGGCGGGGGGCATGGTGCTGGGGGGCAGGTAGGGAGGAGGGGGCAGGAGGTTTCCGTGGGGAGCACGGTGCTGTGGGGCGGGAGGGGGGCTGCCGTTAGGGGCAGGGTGCTGTGGGGGCGGGGGGGTTGCCGTGGGGAGCGGGGGGGCACGGTGCTGGGGGGCAGGTAGGGAGGAGGGGGCAGGAGGTTTCCGTGGGGAGCACAGTGCTGTGGGGCGGGAGGGGGGCTGCCGTTAGGGGCAGGGTGCCGTGGGGGCGGGGGGGGCACGGTGCTGGGGGGGCGGAGGGGGGTTGCCGTGGGGAGCGGGGGGGGGCACGGTGCTGGGGGGGCGGTAGGGCGGAGCGGGTAGGATGTTTCCGTGGGGAGGGGGCTCATGACGGTATAGGGGGCGGGGGGTTGGCTTTGTACCGAGCAGGCCACTTTAGGCCACCGCTATTTGCATATGTTAATATAATGCAAACGAATCGCACGCTAGTCTGCGCCGCAGCGCCCTCTGGGGGAATTTGCTCTTCACGGGTTGAGCCACGGAGCGGAACGCGGCTTTCTCGTTGGCCGTGTTGTTATAGCTACTATGGTTGTCAATCATTCCTCTACTCCCGCCCGCTTGGTCACCCTTAAGATTCCATAGGATGGAATCCCTGTCACTCTTCCTCCTAAATCTTAGGACTCTGAAACCGTCTCCCGATAAATTCGTGTGAAACGCCCTATATGAACTCTCGCCACATTATTCGTTGAGATCACCTGTCAATATCTGTGACAGGAGGACATAATTGGACGAGGGTGATCGATGGGCCGTTTTCCCACCTCGTTGGCCATGTCCCATTTCTATTGGTCAGTTCTCTTGTCGCTCTGGCCCCTGAAGCTGGCGATTGGCACAATCTGTAGGACTGTTCCACCCCCCCCCCAGGAAGGGGCACGCTCCGGGCCACTTAGCGCCGGCGCAGTGCCGCTGTTGGCTGCGGCGGTGGCGGCTGCTGCTGAGGCGAGCGGCCGGGCCGCGCTGCGGATGGAGCCGCTGCAGAATGGCGGTGGCAGCGCCGAGGCGGCGTCGACGAGCGGCCCGGAGGAGAAGCGGCGGCGGGAGCCCGTCCTTTCGCGGCGGCGGCGCAGCAACAGCGGGGCCGGGCCCGGGGCCGACGCTGACAGCGGGGCCGGGCCCCACCCCCGCGAGCGGGGCGGTTCCGTGACCCGCCAGCGCCTCGACTCCCTCCGCAAGAGCCGCCCGCGTAAGTGATGCGGGGTGGGGGGCAGCTGGGGCGGGGCTGGGGAGGAGGGAGTGGGGTGGGGCAGGGGGCGGGGCTGGGGAGAGGTGGGGGCGGGGTAGATGAGGCTGGGCGGGCAGGGTCAGAGCTGGAGAAGAATGGGGCAGGTGGAAGTAGAGCTGGGTGGGGGGAGGTTGAAGTATGGAGGGGGGGGTAAGGAGAAGTAGATGGGTAGAAGTAGGAGGGGTTAGGAAGGGAGTGGCGAAAGGTGGAGCTAGAACCTGGATGGGGAATGAACGAGGCACACGGGGAGCCGTACACGTCAGGGCTTGAGCCATGGTGATGGGGGAGAGCTGCTCAGGGCTGAAGGGGGAACTAGGTAGGGTGGGTAAGGCGCAAATGAGATCAGAAAAAACATGTGTTAGAAATGTTGTGTTAGAAATGGCATGTAGAATGAGGAAGCTGGAAAAAGGAACACTGCCTTCATCTTAGCAGGGCATGGAGCAGCTGCTGTTGAGGTGGCTCTAACATATGAAATTTATTTTTCATAATAGAAAGCATCCACTGGTCTGGATGTTATTTATGCTGATTTCTAGGGAGTACTACTCAGTGCCAGTTTCACACAATGTGAGCATCCTAGGCTTCCCCTCCTCCTTCCTCACTTCAAGTTCAAATTGTGCAGAACTGCTGCAGCAACGCAGTTGTGTCAGGAAATGACTTCCAAAGCTGAAACTGCATAGTTGAGTAGAAGACATTAGAAAGAATTCCAAAGAATAAGATGAAAGAAATTATCCCTTTATTAGGAACCTGTTGATACTTTCTATATTTTATATATAGGAAAGTAATAGCCATAACAAAGGGTATCCATCATTATAATTACAGGTAAGGAAACTAATTTTTTCTTCATGATATATGAGCATGCACTTGTGTGAATATTTTTAATGGGAAATAGCAAGCAGCAAATACCAAATTCCAAAGTGGGAAGGGATTTGTAAAGAAAGTAAATTTTCTTAAATAATTTCTTATTTGTAAAGAAAGTAAATACAAAACATTTATCTCAAAATGCCCCAGAAGAAATTAAAATGGAAAATTTTTTGTTCATTTTTGTAATTTGAGACTTTATTTGCTTGCTTAGTTTGAGGGATCCTGAAGGAGTCAAAGGTTGCATTGGCTGAGGAGAGACAGTCTTATAGTGTTTGAAGGAATTGCAGATCTTAAGGGGGCATACTGAATAGTATAAAGCTCTATTATTCCCAGCTATGGCTTTAGAGAGTCCTTTGCAGATTTTGCCTTGAGGGGGGGATCTTATTGGATGCTTTGCATGCTTAGTGTATAACTTGATCCATTGTCAGGTTCCAGAGTAACAGCCGTGTTAGTCTGTATCCGCAAAAAGAAAAGAAGGACTTGTAGCACCTTAGAGACTAACAAATTTATTTGAGCATAAGCTTTCATGAGCTACAGCTCACTTCGCTCATTAAAGCTTATGCTCAATAAATTTGTTAATGAGCGAAGTGAGCTGTAGCTCATGAAAGCTTATGCTCAAATAAATTTGTTAGTCTCTAAGGTGCCACAAGTCCTCCTTTTCTTGATCCATTGGGAAGATTGAGTATTGAAGACCTTCAATCATTTAAGATCCCCATAAAGGAACAAATATAACTTTCTTCACTCTTTGATCTAGTGTTCATAGACATTAAAGCCCATTTCACATTCAAAGTAGATTTAGACTTAGAGCAAAAATAAGGGCACCTTTTTATGTTTAGAAAGTTAGTACCTGGACTAAGGATCATCTTTTTAAAAGAAGCATTGAAATGAGGTTCTTTAATTCACCAAGTTTACTCTCCTAATTTATGTGAAAAAACAAATATGGTGAAGCTTCCATTAGGGAATTGAAAAGGCTTTGGAGAGCTACAAAACAAGGTTGAAATGTCAGTTTCATCATATGCCTCACAGGAGAATCCCAGTGAAACAGAAGATGTGAGATGGCTGGGTCTAGAAATGTTGGGTTAATATTTGTGAGGGTTGAGGATTGAATCTTGGGTATCTTTATAAACCTTGGGATCTGCAGCCTGAGAGACCAGCGTGGTGTACTTACGATTACAGGTAGTCTGTCTAGACTTATTTTCCAGATCATTGATGATTTAAGAAATAAGGGAAAGACATTCACGAGTAGATCCTTTCACAGGTAGAATGTGTGTCCATCATCTGTGTTCAGTGATCGCATTGGCAAGAGTATAGTACTGGTACCCTCTTGTTTTATGTTACAAGTAAGTCTAAATGAGAGAACCACTTAATGGGCAGATGATCAAAGACTGTCCTAGTTTAGCTCCCACTTATCTGGCGCTGGTATGTGGCAAATAATCCTTTTGACCTTGAAGTTTGTCTTGGCCTCCATATACATTACACTAGTAGATGAGCCTGCTTCTTCAAGTAAGAAAGGATTCCAGTGGCTTTGTCGTTCAAGTTGATGATCTTTGTTCCTTTCTGTATGTTGCTTTGTGGAATAAAAAGATGTTCCTGGAAATTTATGTGAAACAGGGTTCCTATGAGATCTCTGGCTGCTCTTGAACTAATATCAAAATCTAAAATTAGTGCCAATTCAAAAAGTATTTAGTGGTGGGGCATTACTCTCTGTATTTGCATGTGCACAATGCCAATGTACATATGAAAATTGATCCAGAGATAACTTATTTATTTTCCTCGTACTTGCACACTTACAGGACTATGGCACAGTTAAAAGAACCTTTTCTCCACACAGTTCAGTAAGTACATTTTTGGTAGTAGGTAATGTAGTAAATAGCCCAGATGAAGAAAGAGGGTATCAATATCATATCTATTTTGATAAGACTGTAGGAGAAGATATGCCAAATGACCTGGACATGAATAGACAACGTTTTCCCTCAAGTGTAGGATATAAAACCGATGATGACTAGATCCAAATGATTCATGGAATCTATGCAGTAATGAGTGTTGTTTCTGTTAACAGAAATAGATTGAACAAGGATAGAATCCACTTGTCTTTGTAGACACTACGACCAACTGCACGAAAATACTTTGCATATGCTCTGAGAGCAGCACTGGGATTATTAGTCCTGTGTAAAGATATTTTCCTTTCATATAAATGTACTGACATAGAAAATAGAAGAGGAAACATCAATAGTTCCCCAGTAGGGAATAGGGTGCATGGTGTGTGTCTAGCTGGAGAGCATTGTGGAATGAAGTATTTGGAGGAAAAAAGAATTTTGGGTCACAAAAAGTTTAGAATTTGAGCATTTTTTAAAACTTTTTTAAATTAAAATTTCTAAAGAAAGTTGTTCCAAATTTTAAAAATCTAAACATTTCATTTTGAAAATGGTGAAATTAAATGTTTTGATTTATTTGATTTTGATTTATTTTTGATTTTTTTGATTTTGATTTGGATTGATTTGATCTATTTGATTTTGATTTATTTTTGATTTTTTTGATTTTGATTTTGATTTATTTGATTTATTTGATTTTGATTTATTTTTGATTTTTTTGATTTTGATTTGGATTGATTTGATTTATTTTGATTTTGATTTATTTATTTAGTTTTTTATTAAACAATTCAGTGAAATTGGCGTAGATTCTTGAAATGTTTCAGAATCTACATTCTTTGCCAGAAAAAAGTTTTGATAGAAAAATTTCACCCAACTCTTGTCCTAGGTGTTCTGGTCTCGTTGTCTGATTTCTGTGAAAGGGCTTCTGTATCTTTCAGCCTTTCAAATACTGTATATTTGATCAAATCCAGCCAAAGATGTAAACTACACATAACATTTAGAACAGAAAGTAATGTAAATAACTGGAGGTAAAAATAAAATATTTTGGTAGTTATTTTGTTGTCTTAAATTTAAGTCCTGATTTAATTACCTTTTATGATTTGAAATTTTATATAAAATGTTAATTACTGATGAAGCTCCATTTTAGAGAGGTGAAGAAGTGTAGATTTAGTACAACTTTTTATTAAACATGTGTTTAATAAAAAATTGTCGCAGTTGTATAATTTCCATAATGGTACAAGGTGGTTAAGATTTAATACGGAATATTTTAGAGTAAGTAGAGAGATGCTGTTCTACATTTAGCTGTCGTCTGTAAGTTTCCAGTGCTCTGTAGGCTAAACTTCTTCTTAGCTCTTACTATAATTGTTTCATAACTTAAAGATCAGTCTAAAAGTACAGTTTGAGCTTCATAACTTTTTGAGATCTGTGATTATATCACCATTTTTCACAGGGTGGGTTTGATTTAAATCAATTTTGATTTAAATCATGATCAGTAGTCACTAGTCAGGAAGACTCGATTTAATCATGGATTACTACAGAAAAGTGCATTCTTGTTGGTGGTTATAACCTAAATACATATTCTTCACAATTTAGAGGTGGACGTAGTGGGTTTGTGTTTGTGTGTGTGTGGGGGGGAGATGAGAAAACCTGGATTTGTGCTGGAAATGGCCCAATTTGATTATCATACACATTGTAAGGAGAGTGATCACGTTCGATAAGCTATTACCAGCAGGAGACTGGGGTGGGGGAGGTATTTTTTCATGCTTTGTGTGTATAAAAAGATCTTCTACACTTTCCACGGTATGCATCCGATGAAGTGAGCTGTAGCTCACGAAAGCTTATGCTCAAATAAATTGGTTAGTCTCTAAGGTGCCACAAGTAATCCTTTTCTTTTTGCGAATACAGACTAACACGGCTGCTACTCTGAAACATTTCTTGAATGGTTCACCTTTAGCTCTGAAGTTTATTGTAGTTGGCATTATGGAGGGATGATTGCTGGATGTCCATGTCCTAGCCAACTCCTCTTCTTCAGCAGTTAAGGTTTGACCCTGGTACCGAGTATTGAGAATATTTGCAAGAAAATAAGCTGGAGATAGTGCTTGTCCCATTCGTTTTTTTTTAATGCTTGTAATTTAACTCTGTCGTATATTTCTCTTTTTAAGATCTCACTCAGTTCCTTCCAAATTTCAACAGCATCAGCAGTAAAACAGCTGTTTCCCTGCATTTTGT